TCCCTTCCAACCCAAACCATTCTGTGATTCTATGATTCTATAATTAGCTGAGGGAGCAGAAGTGGAAGGCAGGAGTCACTGGCGGATGATCTGACAGAAATGAGCACACCAACCTTACTTAACTTGTGACGTTCCACTGATATAAATGGCAACGTTTTCCTATGTTAAATTAGACCCTGTGCGAAGTTATCATCTGGTCTTTGCTTAGGTATTGACTTGCACTTCTAAAGGACTGAAAGTTCATGTATTAGCAGCGTAATTTCATAGCATAGTTTTAAAAATGCATCTTTTTATTCCTGGCATTTGAGGGCTGCTCAGCTGAAGGCTCTCATGCAACCTTGTTTTTAGTAGATGGAATAAAATGTCAAAGTATGCTATATGGAGCAGGCAACGTGATTCTCTGTGTCCAGGGCCCTTGCAACATAGGCAGAAAGTTGCAGTTTTTGCTGTAGACACAGCTGACATCATCTCTGCATTGTTATGTCTCTTGTATGTGCACAGCGTGATCTAGAAAGCGAGCTATAATGGAGACAATCCCACTGCAAGGCTGGTAGTAAAAGCTGCGCACAAAAGAACAGTATATCGCTACATACAGCAGAGATACGTTGCATTTCCATTTGTTGTTTCTCTCAACGTGTTCAGATGACTTTCAGATGATGAGTATTGTTGGTATAGAATTAAGGTAGGATTTTAAATTTCGTTTAAGTACCTCAAGATAACCTGAGAGTAAAAAAAACCACGTTTTACAGCTGAAATTGAAAACCAGAATCAGTACATATGTGAACAGCAAAAGTTGCTCTGACGGATCAGACTGCGCCAGAGTAGCTCAAAACCCTGTTACTGGTGCTGTCAGGTAACAGCAGCTTCAGAGGAAAAGACAAATAGAACTGGTTCAGGTTCGCAGCAGCCCAGGATGTTGCCCGTTGTCTGTGTTTCGGGAAATAGGAAAACCTTTAGTTGTTACCCCACCCAAACATCTCACCAATTTGCATTCACTCAGTATTCGAATGAAAGGTGCTTGTCTCCGGTATAAAGCATCCAGGTCACCTCCTAAGAGCTCTAACTTTGTGCGGAAGTTTTTCAGGAGCCTAAGAGATGACCTCATCTTGGAGGCTCTCACCGTCCAGCTTAATGCCTTACACATACAAAGCTTCCTCAGCCAGGGGAGGGATGCTGTGCCAGTGCAGGTTTGTGACGCTGCACACAGCTAGCTGGCACAGCCAAGTTAGAGGCTGGGTCGCCCTTTACTCAGTTTAAGACCCTACTCTCATCCAAAGGACTTTCAGTACCTCCCCACCTCTCTCCATCTATCTCCACAGGTCCAGAAGGTGGAGAATTCGTTCCCTTTCCCAGTGGAAAATGATCAGGGGATGGCTTGCTTTCCTGCAGCTAAAGGAGCCACGAGGTGAGCAACGTCCCACTGACCCCTCTCCCAAGTCACACGGAGGCGAGTGGAGCGACGGCTCAGGTGTGGCTTTCTGCACCCATAACCTGCTGAAATGGGTCCCCTGGACCCATTTAGATTACCCTATTTATCTCATGTGCTGGGCAGTCCGTCCTGCTGCTGCTGCCGCAGCCAGTGCCACGACGTCAGGTCACGTAGGTGTTGATCTGGCTGGCATTCAGCTCGGCAGGTCGGGTTCCACCAGCAGCGAACTGCAGCGAGGAATTCAACAGGATTTGCACAGCCTGGCCAAGAAGCTTCATAAATACGTAATTATGTTCCAGCCTCTGTTTGAAATGATGGCAACTATGCCCAGTCACCACATCTAAACCTAAGGTCACTGATCGTGAAGCCTAATTCTGTGCTATTTTAGAAAACAAACAGGACTCCCGCGCCCTTTACTGTAAACCCGGTCACAAACGTAGTTATCCACAGTACTACAGAGTGTTAAAAGAAATGTTTTATAACCAAAATACTTTTATTAGACTAGTACATGGGTTATTTTAAATCAAGAATTAATATACAGTTGGTATTAAACTATTGTTTCCGTTCATGTTACTGAAGTCAAAGTTACTGTAGATTAACCTCAGGAGGTAATATTTATCTGAAAAAAAAAAAGTTCTTTAAAAATACCGATGTTAATTTCTTCTTCCTCTTTGCATTTGGTGTGTTTTGGCAATATGATTTAAACCAGACAAATTCGCCAACAGAGCATAACACGAAGCGAAACCAGAACTTAACTGGAACTGAGTGTAGACTGTTTTATTGATCTATTCGTACTTCTGATGTGAAAATGATCCCATCACTACATTCATGTTTCCTTTTCATTAAATAAAATTATTTTTCCATTAGGCTTTCTGTAAGAGCTCCATCCAAGAAAAACACCTCGAGTATTCAGAGAGACTCCAGATACCTAATCCAGTTTATTGGGTAACTGCTTCTAAGACCCCTGGATAGAGAAATCCCTTCAGACGTTTCTTCTTGTTTTACAGAAGCGTCATAATACTATTGCCCTGTCTGGACACTGGTAGTCACACCCGGCCTGGTACAGTACTCAGCAATAGAAAAAAAAATATGCCTGGGTGTGGCCTCTCCAGCCCACACCATCACCTGAGTGTTCAGTTACAGTGGCTTTTCACAGATTGGAGAAAGCGACTGGCCACGTGCAAAACGGAGAGCGATCTCTTCTAAAACAAGAGACCCTTTATACAGTAAGCAGGCTCAGCATCCCACTTCAGAATGATGCAGCGGCAAGAGAATACGATGCTCAACTCCTGTTAAAACATGGTAACCTGATGTACCCCTCAAGCCCACAGACAGAATTATTAATTGTTATTATTCGTTATTTTAAATGCCAGCTGTATCAGAAACCTCATTCTGACCGAAGTTCTGTTACCCTGATGCTGTGCAAACAACACAGAGTTATACTGCAGCTCTTTTGGGATGCTGTTAAGGAAAGTTGTTGCTTTTAACCGGACATTCTGGTTAAAACAGATGACTTCAAACCCGTTATCTTTTCAGGGATCTATCTAACCTTTTGCATACATTTCTACTTTTACGTAACATTCCTTATAGACTCAAGGATCTTTATTATTTTTCTCTCAATCCTTGGTTATAAGGAGCGTTGCTTATCAGCTCAACCACAGTGACTTTCATGCTCTTCCAAATGCAGAATGAAATCTGAACTTTGGCCTCTTACTTCAGTGACACAGGTGTGTCGTCAGTCCCACCCACTCATGTTAGACGTGGCAACTTCGTACGCCACTGTAACAGGATAACTTTTAGCACAGGCCTGTCTCCTCAGAGGTACAGGTGGGGCCTGCCTCTGTACCCTTCATTGATCCCCATGTCTCAAAGGTCTTGACTGGATTACATGAAGAATGTGGACTGCTTTACCTTTTCTAAGGTACACTTGGATGAAAGGAGTTCAAACCTCTTCCTCCTCCCCCTGCCCCACAATGTAGGGGCAACGTATTTTGATGCAACCTAAACTCTTTGCCAAATAATTCAACCCAGATCAGTAATAGCCTCCTCTAAACTGAATCTGTGCAAGACCTAATTACATTAACTTTAAATTCATGTCAAGTTAAACCAAGGAACCTCTCTTGTATATAGGATTCCTTCTACGCACCCATTTCCTGGTAGGTTTCTGTGCTTTTACTGCTGCCCACACACCAGATACTCTCCTGCCAGCATCTCAATATCCCTGTTCTCAAAAGATTTGTCATGGATATATTCTGAAATATGCGATTGCTCAGATACGGTCAGATATTCAGCCCAATGTATACACAGGTTATGAAAAATGCAGGTTTTCTAACAAGTGTTTACATTGCCATTTAATATGTGAATATTTCCTATTACACAGTAAGAATATGAAGTAGAGAAAAAAATAAATTATTAAAATAATAATCTGGGAAAGAGAAATCTTAGTGTTTTAGAGAGCCATCTCCTGCACCTAGTGGAAATAGCACACAGACATCATAAAGTTGCACACAGTACTGTAATACGTATGACAGTTTTCTGATTTCCTGGAACAGAGTCATGAAAGCCATTTATAAACAACCAGCTCATATTTTCTCCAGAGTAGATCACATGAAATATGTGTAGAAACTGGAGTAAGGAGGGATTGTATAGCAGTGCCATTAAAACAGTCAAAAAAAGCACTGATCCTGCAGTAGAATCTGAGTAGTCATACACCTGAGCAAGGCCAAGAACAGTTTCTCCAGAAAGTCTGATCCAAATTCACTAATAAAATCAGACAGGACAATAATATTAGCTTGTAAAGAGTTTGACAGTACAGTAAGAAGACCATTGAAAATATCCCGCATATCTGCATAAGCACTAACATAAAAACTTACCCATCAAGTCCCTCTGATAAATGGTCCCCTATACAAATGCAAATTTTTAATGTACATTAAAGCACTTCTGGCAAGAGGCACAGATTCCACTGCAAAGTCTGAAAATAATAGAAAAAAAAATTCTAAAACTTGAAAGAAGATCAAAGGTAGAGCGTTTTCTAATGGTCTGATACATTCTGTCAATAAATTCTGGTTTTAGGAATAGCAAAATTCGAGATAAACTGCAGATCACCTGTGAAGACTTACTAGATTGTCC